CCCCAAAACCCCAAAACCCCAAAACCCCATAATGCAGTTTTTATTGAAAAATATAAATATAATCTATTAATAAAAAGTTAATCTAAAATGAAAGAAATAATTAATTTTAATTAATGAAAAATTTTCTGAATTTCATACTAGTATTGCTTTTGCTGCTTGTATACTTTAATTTCATACATGGTAATGTACTATTTAAATAACAAATCAAATTTTAGGCTACACTTAAGTATTTTATAGCAAAGGGAATAGATTTATGTCTAATGTGCCAGTGTTTGATACAGATTTAGTGAGCAATGAGAATGATCAATATTTATTTACTCTTAATATCTGGGTAAAGCCTCTTGAATTCTAGAGCATTATGTATCCCTTTTTAACTTGGGGTTAATATGTGACTCTTAACACTGAGAACATGATACTTACGATGCAATCTGTTTTAGGATTTACTCCTAACCCAAATCTAAACTTTGATCTCATTTATAAAACTTGGCAAAGAATCTGCATTGTCAAATATCAGTTCTCATTATCAATGTATTATTAATGGCTTAATGATTTTAGATATATAAACAATTAGATAATTTATACAAAGACACCAATCGACTGGACAATTAGTTTTAACAGGTTAGCAAACATTTATTAATACTCTGCATATTCTTTACTTTTGATTTCTTGACATTATCTTTCATTATTTAATCAGCCATTTAGAGACATGAATCATCAAACTTATCATATTGGGACAAGCGCTTCAATTTACTTTTTACTTCGAGATTTTGTATTTTATAACAGAGCTCTCACTAATAATGAAATAAAAATGATCGCTTATCAGTAAGAATTGACTAAATAGTTATTATATTTTTAGAGTTGGAGATATTTAGCTCTACAAATCTAGCATGATAAGATACTATAAACTAACGTTGTTTGAAGAGGGAAATTACATTTTTGATTACTCTTACTATGAAAAGCACTCTAGGATGAATGAAGCCACTTCTGACTTAAGTTATTACGTTTACGATGAGGATATGGATAGTTAAATATCATTTGCTGCATTATCTAAAGTCTAATTACCTGATTAGTTAACTTTTTGCGAGGATGATTTCAATACTAACTTCAGGAAAATATTAGTACCACTCTGGCCTAAAACATACAGTGTATTTAACATCGAGTTCTGGTTTAAGTTCAGCGACATTATATCTAGGAGTTATGAGTTTTATTTTTTGACAGATTCATATGACATCAATAATTTCAGCATTAGAACAGTTGCAGGTAATTAGTATATGATCTGCTTTAAATTCATGTACTATGGGGATTGTCATACTTTTACCAATTAAGTGAGCAATCTGAAATGGTAAAACTACGTTTTTTTGTACGATTATAAGTTACCCCTATGGAGATCTGCACTTGACACTAATTATGCTGAAAGCACGGCACTTGTTAACACATGTAGTTTAGATTATTTAAAGTTTACATATCTATAGTATTTTAATTTGTTGGCCCTGAAATACTCTTTGGAAACATATACTCCTCTACACCCCCTGCCAGTACTTTTACATACTATATGAAGGAACTTAGAATTTGGAATATCTTCAGAACTAAATAAACAATAAATAGTCAATTAAGAACGTAGTTTAAAGCTCTTTTTAAAACTTCTTATTTTAGAAAAATGAGTACCTATCCAGGAGGTGGATTGCTTGGCTATTGGTAACTATAAAAATAGGATTCTTTCGGAGATAACTATTTGAGTGATGACTCTATAAATCCATAGACAATTGAGTTGATTGAACCCTTAAAGTATTGCTCTTATACTCCTGCACTTATTCTTTGCAATTTCGGTTAAACATATGACAGCATAAAAAATCTATGCAAGGACGATACTTCAACTTAGTAATTACTGCTGAATGTAAATACGGGTTCAAGCTAAAAAGCAAGTATGTAGACACTTCTAATGCTAATAATAATTTATAGTGAGACTTAATTCAGGAGCTCGAGATAATTTAATTCTAGAGTTCTGGTTTCTTACTAGTATTTAAAATGGACAGCTTATTAAAAGAGAGGATGCTAGATTCAATGTGATTATAAAAACTCCATCTCCAGGAAATACTGCTTTTTATTTAGAAAGATTAGATACTTTCCCATCAACATTTTTTGCATCAAGTATGATCTATCAAAGCAATGTCTGGCATCATGTCCTTGTTAAACATAAGATAACTTAGCCTACATCTTTATAAGAATGTATTGTCACAGTTTGTCTTAATTTAGTCTGTCTAGCTGAATAGAGGTAAGATTAGTTTGATTTGTATCAGAAATATTAGTTTTACATATAATTCAGGCACAGAAAATCACAATGCATTAATAGGAGTAAATTACATAGGCACTTTCAAAGAAGTAAGAGTTTGGGCAATTTCAGATGACTACTTTCATTTCTATAAAAGAGATATAGTTACTCCTACAGCTACATCGGCCCTATTAGATTACTGGAGATTAGACGGTGATTCTTAAGATGACATTTTTACTCATTGGAATTATCCAACAAGCATTTTTCTTGAGACTGACTATGTTGCTCCAAGCATTCCTACATCGTTATATGATAAACTATATGAATGTAAACATGGAAGTTACTTTTCAGGAACTTAGTGTGTCTATGATAACTTCATTATTATCAAGTCAGGTAATAATAAGAGCCCACTTCTAATGAAAGTTAATCAAACAACCACACCTTAGTCTTATAGTGTAGGATTTTGGTTTAAACTAAGATCTTTGCAAGATCAAAATATTATATGCGGGGCTACTCCAAGGTAAAATAACTTCTTATACTTAAGAACTACTACTTCAGTTTCTGATAAAACTCTGGAGCTAAATTAAGCTAACTGCTAATTCTTATTGACTCGAGGATACGATGTTTAGCTAACTGCCAACAGATGGTTTTAAATATCAACTTCAGTAAAAAATGTAAATAGCCTGACTTCGAGACTACATTTCGCTGCTCTTACAGACTATACTTCAAAAAATTTCATTACTAAATTAGAGGAGATGAATTGTCCATCATTCAGTTATGTGAATAATGAGCCCGATGCTGAAGTTTATCTTTGTGATGATTCTATCTATGGGAATGAAGGTAACAGCATTAAGAATCTCTACTTTCTGAATGATTATGCAATGACTGCTAATGATGTTTTCACAGCAAGCAAGGTTGCCTGGAAAATGCTAAACCTCAAGCCTGCACTATATCTGATTTTTAATAATACTTAAAAAAGTGTTTGGGCCTATGACTTAGCAAACAAGCATAACATTATTTCACTTAGAGGTTAAATTACTGATTCCCCATTTTATTGGGTCCATGATTCATTTGCACCAAAAATTTGTCATGATTATTATGAAGTACTTGATTTGGCAAGAATGATATGCTTTCGTAATAATTCCTTTTTTGTATCATAACTAATATATAGCAAGATTAGCAATGTAGCATAGACCTTCGAATGTGGTAATAGAAAATGTGGCTTTAGCTGCAACATGGACACCAACCTATCAGCTATCTTTTGGGATGTTTATTAAAAGCTTTTACGGAGGGACTGGAATGACTTAGCATATTATGACAGTGAATCCTACAGGTTCTTCTAACAATTAAAAGCTTGTGCTGTAAACTACTTATTTTATAAGTAGTGGCAAAGATTCCCAAGATATGTCATTTGAGCTTGAGAATTTGCCGCTTGTTTAATATGAATATTAGAATAGGATAGATTATTGGCAGCATCTAGCTTTTGTAAGAGGTAAGTGAAAAAAATACATTATTAAATGGATGATAGATTCTTCATACTATATTTATGAAAGTGGATTATTAAGAACTGAGACACCGACAGCAGCTGTCTCAATAGATGTCAACTACGATGGATTGATATATATTGGTTAGATGCCTGGAACAACTACCCCTATTGGATTTAGGGGTTATATAAGATAGTTTAAGATCTATGAAACTGCTCTCACTTCATCATAAATCATGAATTATATGGTTAGGTAACTTTAAACATTTTATAATCATTAATCAGCAATAATCAAAAAGATTTTGGACTCGTTAATTATTTTCCTTTTGAAGAAACTAATTACGATTATCTACTTTATGATCATGCACCAGTTAATTCATTAAGAACACCGTCTAACACTGCTAACTATATTTATCTCTAGTATGATTCGTATAAATCATTGGATACATTTGACTGGGCTTACTATGAAGAAACGAACATATATTTTGGATCAAGTTCAGCATACACTGGTCTCACTCTAGGTCCTTCTCCAGAGTGGTCTTTATCATTTATGTTTAATTTGGGGACTGATTTAACAGCAAACAAAGTAATTTTTGCAGTTTCTAATTGGCTGTCAATAACTAGACATACTAACAACAGCTTTTTATTCATTTATTAACCTTAGAATGCTTAAATTTATACAATGATGACTCCTGAATTTACTGAAGATTAATGGTATACTTTTGCAGTGACTTATCCTGCCAACTTAGTATTAATGGTGGACAACTTGATGATCATTAATCAAAATAGATATTATAATACTGGGGGATATGCTATGCCAGCTATAACTGGAGATATTACTTATTCAGGCACTTTCTATCTGAGAGAAATAAGAATATGGAAATCAAGACTGACAGAATCATTTTTAAGACAGAATAGTTGAAAGAGAATCGATGGCTTTTATTATAGTAATCTGTTATTCTACACTCCAAATCATATTCATAGTAACTTCTAAAATAATCTGAGGTACTTTCTTAAAGGCTAAATCTAAACTGACCATTATTAACGAATACCTTCTGCTAGTAAAAGAATTCCCACTAGCTATTGTAAGGAAGATTAGTATTACAATGGTAAAGTGTGCTAGTCTTTTTATTATATGAGATTTAGTGATTCGCTCTTGAAGGATTTAGATATTCCGATCAAAGATATTTAAGCACCTGATAATCTCTAAGTGGACTTTTGGCTGCTTATAGATATATAAAAAGCACCTGGATATCTCATAGAGTTGCCAATTGGAACATTTAGAACTTCACTAGTTTTCAATGGCCCGTAAGTAATTTTATAGAATAATAATAACAACATTGATTTTAGTGGAAATACTATGGTTATTGAGCTTTATGATACTAATCAGGGCTTGGGTGAATCCATTTTAACTTCAATATCAAGGCAAGCCATGATTAGTAATGGAAAAGGATTATGGATTAAATTTATTACTAGATTTTTCAACTCTGACTTAAAGTAGATAAACTTTAGTACATCTTAAATTTTTATAGAATGAGTATTAGCGCAGGAGATTAAGTATTTGATTATGAACTATCATTATTTATCGGCAGTATAGATTACACCTAACTTAAATATATAAGAATTTGTCCTAATCAATGCGATATGACCATGGCTTTTCTAACTATATGGAAAGCTCATTAAGATTTTACCAACGAACATGATTACTATAAAAAGCCTTATCCACATTTGGTGTATGGGTTTTGGCCTATGACTGAAGGAACTGGCGAGACTTTATATGACTACAGTATTTACCAATTGAGCAGAAAAATTTCGAGGTTAAACAGCTATGGAAGCAAGTTTAAATGGTGGAGTATCAAGGAGATCAATAATGAGGCTGAGGTGCTAGTTATGTGCAATTAGGAGACAATTTATAACTTCAAAATAGGATTCTGCGTTAGTTATATTTCATATCAAACGTAGTTTCATTAATACTCAGGCTTAGATGTTACAAAACTAAAAAACAATCCTGAGGTAACTTATAACAGAGATTGGGCGATTGAATTATGGCTGAATTTCTAGTTCGAAGGAGATTTAAGTCAGATAGATATGCCTATTATCAAATCAGATCCAGATTGTATAGCTGATCAGTGGTCAACTAGTTATGAAATGAGCATTAGTCGAGATTTATATTAAATGAAAAATTACGTGAATTTTTAGTCTTAAAACTATCAAGGCACTTCTGGTATTATCAAAGAATATCGCAATGTCCTTGAAAGCAGTTGGTTTCATGTAACTGTAGTGAATATTTTCAATTAGGTGCAAAATAGTCAAGCCATCTATGTGAATGTAAAATAACCATTAACTGACGCAACATCATTTGCTCGCTATAAGTTGTCAAATTGTGATATTTTTGTTGGACATTCAAGCACTTAAACAATCGCTGAAAATACCTTCTCAATTAAATAACTTAGAATATGGAATGAGGTCAGGCCTTAAGCCTAAATAGCATGGCATTCATTATAAAGATCCTTCGATAAAGGTGAACTAAACCTAATGAAGTACTACAAATTCAACAGAGAGGAGGGATTGTAAGAAACGATATCTAATAGTCAATATGCAGTTGGAGCGAATGTAAGATTCAAGATATTCATTGACAAGTTCCACATGGACTGTCCTAATAGTTACCACTACTCTTTAAGCAAGGGAAGATGCGAACGTAAGTTCATACTTAAATATCCTTTTAGTCGTAAAGTACATGAATTATTTGCAATTTAACTAGGGAATTAAGTGGGAAATGCAATCAACCATTCAGAATCAAGTATTATCTGATAAAGGTGATATTTGATTGTTCTTAAAGCCTTTTATAGATTATTCATTTTCACTTATTATGTGTACATATACTTCAGCTGCAGGAGATTAGGACTTCTTAGCAATTAATGATTTTCTCATCATAAGAGTCAATAGTCGCAAATATAGCTTAGAGTTGAAGACGAATGATCCTACTAGACCTTCGCTGCAAATCACTATCGACTATATCAATCAAGGCACTGCATATTGGGGTTTTCACTTTGATGCAGAGTCTAGCTTATTTTGGGTGTCACTTCAAGGTGACATCAAATGGTCAGTATAATTGCAGACACATTAATTTAAGCTCGATGGACAGTGGACAAATTAGTTTGGTTATAATGGGATTAATCTTAGCGGGACTATTGGAATAATGAAGCAAATGATTTTTTCACCAGCTTTAACTAAGTAGGAGGTGCAGAAGTACTATAGATATGGGTATCATCCAACTAGAGCTAGCGCTAATGCTCTTAGTGCTATTTTATTTGACAAAAATGATCTTTATAGTGGAAGGTATAACTTAGTACCTTATTAAGTATCATCCTCATCTGAAGTAGATACATTTTAAGTTACTAATGGCTCACCATTTTAGGTATCATAGACTAATTCATGTAGAGAAGGAGCATTTAGGTCTTCTGGAAATGGCGAATGTACTGAACCTTTTTCTCTAGTCGTAAATAACTAGATCCTATCCCTTCCAATAAATGGGATGAAGATCGGTTATTCGGCTACTGTCTAGTTTTGGGTTAATCTATTCAGCATAGGATCAGATTTAACTTATCAAATCGAGCTGTTTGATGTAAAGAATTTAGTTGGTTTGAGCTTAGAGAATGGATAACTCTATTTTAAGTAGTATATCGGAGCGGTGACACCTTCAACACAGATTACAAGTTAGTTTACAAGGGCAGTCTGGTAGAAATTCCATTTTGTGTTATATAAAAAACAATGGACTATATATGAAAATGGATAGTAATTCGAAGCTAGCATACCTAACGATTAAAACTATGAGAATGTAGTTTTCACTTCGATTGACTTTGATTTAAGATAAGGCTCTATGTATAAAGCAAAATTGTAGGAAGTTGCTATTTTTGGTTATCCAAGATCCCCTGCTGATATTTTGAATAACCTTCACTCCCAGATTAATAAAAAGATGTATTAAAACTCTTTGCTAGTATACTATCCTCTAGATGAAAGTTATGAAACTAAAGTCTATGATTATTCCAGATATGGTAGATCTCTGACAATTACAAATCCTATGATTTACTGGGATAACACTCCAAGGGGAAATTAAGGTGCAAATTTGCTTTCTAGTACTGGGAGTGACTATTAAACAAGAGAGAATTCTTTATATTTCAAATACGGAGAGACATCATCTTTGACTTTTCCAGAATCAGTGGGGTTAATAGGACAAGATTACTCTATAATGTATTGTTACAACATTCGAAGTCTCACAGATCTTCCTTTCACAGAAATCCCAATGCTCGAGATCATGGATATTATGGCTATTTATCTTTTAAGAGTAGACAACACAAATCTAAAGCTAAGATTTTATCCTTCTCTCTAGAACCCTATAACTTCAGGCACTCCTGAATGTAATGATGTTGTAAGCAATAAATGGATGTGTGTGGTCGCTAGCCTAGATACTACCCAAAAACTGGCTTTAATGATTATTCCTAGGGCCTCAAAAAAAGGTATTATATATTCAGATAATGAGATGCCTATACTATCAGCATAAAGAAGAGTGGTGAAAATTCATCCTACAAATGCTTATATCAGAGAAGTTAAAATTTTTAACATCGCTATTAGTGAAGGCAACTTAGCTTGGATGGTTCGCCAAGCTTTTAATCCTTTACTCTATTGGGGTAATTACCTAGTATTTTACTATAGACTAGATGAGTCTAATGGAGGAATTCTCTTCGACCAATAGACTACAGATCAATTCTCAATTCTAGCAAGTCAAGCAACTTTATCTCCTCAATGGTCATATGCAGGCAGCAAACTAATTATTTGTGAGGGTGATGCTAAATATTCATACTTTGACTATTGTTAACCTAATGCAAAATTCTTTCTATTAGAATAAAGGACGCCATTATTTTAGGTAAATTTATTTTACGCTCCATAGAAAAATTACACCACCGTGCTCTGGTTGATGATTAATTAATTAGACTAGAGTAATGGATTCTTAATATACTATCACAATCGTTATTATCTAAGGATTACCACTAGTAGAAGGTTGGTATATTCCCTAGGCAATTACCCTTCTTAAAGTGTTGATGTAAGTAGCATTGCAGTCAGTGGTAAATGGTTCATGCTTTTTCAAATGGCAAACACTGATGCTAATTACTCAGCAGTATATATTTGTTACAGGGAACTTGGTGCAGCTGGATTTAAGAACAAGCAAATTAAGATTAATAAGCCATGGATTTATTCAGATCCAACCACTAACACGAATCTCTATTTGTAATTCTAAATGGGGGCTAATACGAAATCGTTTATCAGAGACCTTCAAGTTTGGTCAGCTCCCCTCTCATATAACTATTTCATGAGCAGCAGAGTGTATTTAGGACTTGACCCTGTCAAGATGCGTGCAAAAGGACTATAGGCCTATTTTAGATTCGATGAGTCTGGAGGATAGTATGTTTTTAATTATGCCCTGCCTGAAGTTTATAACAGAGTTTCTAGCTATTACTATCACTCTGCTCTTAGATGGTATTATTATGCAGATTTGAATGTTGATCTATAAACCAACTCTGAGGAAATGGTGAAATTCCTTTTTTGCAATGATCCATATTCCAGGCTTCTAAACAAACATTGTGATTTCTATGATTCGTGTGATTCAAGTTCACTGACAGATGACTGCACTGGTCCAGAAAGTACAGACTTGCCGACTTGTGACTCATCGTTAACTCAATTCTACTCACCAGACACAAGAGATTGCTACGATTGCCACTCATTATGCCTTGGGTGCACAGAGGCATACAGACAAGATAAATGTCTAAGTTGTTAACCAGGACTGTTCTTGTTAGATGGTCTTTGCACCTTTCAATGTCCTGACAATTACTACAACATTAATGGAATCTGCAAAAGTAAGTTATACTATATTCTGCCTAATCTCATTTATAGCTTGCACAGATAACTTGTGTAAATGCTTAGAGAATAACTTGGACTTGTGCTTAGATTGCTTAAGCTCATCCCATTTCTACCTTGAAGACATCTAAAAATGTTTGGCAGTTCTCCCAGACTTTAAGTTTTATGACTACATAACTAAGTCCCTCTTAGATTGCCATCCAATGTGCAAAAAATGCTTCCAAGATGACTAGTACAGTTGTCTTCAATGTGCTGATAATGCTACTTTTCTAGCTCCCAATTACTGCAATATATTTTCTTGCATGACTGGAAATGAGATAAGGCAGAATGCCAATGGTGAAGCAATCTGTGTCCCATGCCAAGCTCCTTGTCTAACATGCCAGAATCAGCCAGATTTCTGCACTTCTTGTGGCAATGATCTAATTTTAGATAGTGAAGGTCAGTGCTTGCCATGCTCAGCATTAGTTGGATATCAGTTTCCTATAGTCCAGCAAGATGGCAAGAAAATTTGCACTGAAATATGTGGAGATGGCTTGAGATTAGATCAAAACTAATGTGATGATGCCAATCTTGAGGACGGTGACGGCTGTTCATCTAAATGCTAAGTAGAGAATAAATATGTCTGTAAAGGCGGCTCATCAGCATCAAAAGATATCTGCCATGACTTAATTGGTCCAGAGGCAGAGATAATGAGTGTGAGCACTCAAAGCAAGTACATCATATTATAGATAAGAGATAATAATGGAAAAGTTTACACTGACTAATAGAATATTTCTCGCACTGATATAGAGCTGACTATTACTGGCATTGATGGAGCTATTAGATATTCAATCACATCACAAATATCTGATGATTTTGTAAGAAATGGCAAAATTTACCTAGAATTCTAGCCAGGATTTTCAATACCAGATGAAGGGGCTTTTGTTTAAGTTAATTTCAAGAAGAGTTAAATGTTTTTTGATTAGTATAAAAATCCACTTAAAAACATCAAGACTAATGTGATTTAGCTTAAGAAATTTGATTACATAGATCCATCATTATTAGCTGCGATTAAGACTGTTGGATCATCTGTGAGTTAAGGCACATCACTGATATTGGCTTTTAATTTGATTTTGTCATTTGCTCTTGATAAGGCTCTTGACTCTCTGTATTCAGCTATCAATTCTGTCTAGATATTGTTCTTTTTACCTCTTATTGATTTAGCTTACCCACCATTCTTCAACGAAGTATTTAGGTACCTTGCATATGCTAATTTCGAGAATCAATTATTAAGAGATCCACTCTCAGCAAGTCTCGATTTTGATAACATTAAAGATTCTCCTTTGAATGAAGTGTTCTATAACTATGGTTTTGAAAGTTAGGTCTTCCTTTCTACTTTTCAGTATAAACTTGGCATACTCTTCATCATTTTCTGCTTCTTCCCGCTAAGCCAACTATTTAAGAGATTCAAGCACAGATACTTTAATATATTTAGGAAGCTAGACAATTTTTTCAAATATAATGGAGTCCTTAGATTAGGACAGGAGTTATATCTTGAAATGGGATTGCTTGCATACCTTAATATATACAATCTTCAGTTTGAAAATAAAGATTAAATTATTAATACAGCAGTAGCTATAATAGCTATAATATTTGTGACATTTTACCCATTGATTACCTTGAATCTTGTTCAAACATTTAAGACTATCGACTCGAATTTCAAAACTCAAACATTAGGTGTCTTAGATGGGATTGATCATTTTAAACTTAAGATATATGCCTTAATTGAGGGTACTCGCATTCAAGCTAATTCACGACTTCCCTAGTTTAATTTTTCATTATTTTTAGCAAGAAGATTGAGCTACATTTAGATACTAGTTTTTCTCACAAATTTCCCTTAGTTATAGATAGTTCTTTGCATTTTTAAAACAATACTTTAGCTAGCTTACTTTATCTTAGTCTAGCCATATGAGTCAAAGCTCACCAATATAATGAGCATTCTGAATGAGAGCATTACTGGCATAGCATTTTCCATTTGCTTTATGTTTAAGAAAGATTTATAAACAGATTATCGAGAGTTTTATGGATGGCTTGTCATTGGATGTGCTATATTTATTTTGGCTGCAAACCTTATTGTAGCAATCATAGAAACAATTAAATCACTCGTGGAAGGAGTGAGAGCCTCTATAAATGCTATGAAAAGATTAGTTAAGATGAGATAGGCTATATCTAGTAAAATTACGTAAAAGTTTAGTGGTAATGGCTTCAACTTAATGAGTTAAACAGCAAAAACTGATCTCAAGGTAAATCATAGTAACTTTCAGACATAATAAATGGACTCATAAGAATAAATTAATGAAAATTAAGGCTTTGAAATTATAAAGCTAAGCCCTTTAGAGCCAAGTATGCATTCTTAATAATGTTAAACGAATACTAAGAAAGGCTTAAATACTGAATCCTCTTTTTTAAGTTAAAATACTCTAAAAATAAGTGATAATTTTGTTGAGAGTTAACAAGATTAATCTGACTTTAAACAAATTGATTTAAGAATGAGATTTAATAATCATAAAAATAATTTAGAAGTAAAGGATGGCATATATTAAGACACTAATAAATCAAAGATTTTTAATGAGTATGAAATGTTAGACTAACTTTAAATCAAAGATAATGCTGATGAAGAGTAAAAATCAAAAGTTGATTTAAGTTAGGAGGATTTACAGAAGGAGAACTAGAATAAATTAGAAGATATATATTAGGATAATCCTAATTAAGAAGAGTAGCTTGAAAGACATAGAAAAATAAGAGCATCAAAGTTAAAAGATGTGGATGATATGATAGAAATTAAAAGAAGGACTAAACACAGAAGGAAATATTGATCATAAAAAGTTTAGTATTACAAGAATTGATTTTTTATAGTGATTTTTAAAATTGATGAAATGTTTTAATTTTTAGTAAAGGGGTTTTGGGGTTTTGGGG